TATCAGGTGACTCATAGGGATTACAGTGAATAATTGAGGAGAAAAAGCAAAGTACAGGAAATTGGGTATAAAATTATCTCATTTTGAGAAGAAATAATCCCCCACAACACCGCCCTCATTTTGTATGTGAGCCAACACACACGAGCATGGAGAAAAACACGGCAGGATCCAGACCCAGCTGTCATCACGGTTTGGGGAACGGACAGTCTTGTGGTAGAAGGGGGATGGGAGAAAGTGAGGGAGGATCCAATCAGAAGAAAAAAAAAAAAAAAGACCACATTGAAATTAAAACAATGTGTAGGGGCTGGCCCAGTGGCGCAAGTGGTTAAGTGTGTGCGCTCCACTGCAGCGGCCCGGGGTTCGCCGGTTCCAATCCCAGGCGCACCGACACACCACTTGTCAAGCCATGCTGTGGCGGCATCCCATATAAAGTAGAGGAAGATGGGCATGGATGTTAGCCCAGGGCCAGTCTTCCTCAGCAAAAAGAGGAGGATTGGCAGATGTTAGCTCAGGGCCAATCTTCCTCACACACACACAAAAAAAACAATATGTATAACATAATCACATTTCTGCACTAATGTGAAAGTGTGTACATGAGTAGACATAAGAAGAAAATTTTACATTATCTATACATATCTTAAACATCTTTGTTAACCTAAAACATACAAATGTATATTCCTTCACCAATAGTTTGACATAGAGCCAAGGTCTCTTCACTGAGAAGAAGTCTATTTTTTGGAGTTCTGCCTCACCTTGCCTTTGGCACAAAAATCACACCCTTAATGCACTGCCTACAATTTCTAATTTCAGCTTCTGTGGAGTGGAGTGAGAATTTAGACACTGGCAAAACCAGTTTAGTACAGGAACCTCTTAGATATGCTTCCCCCCCTAATCTTTTCAGTTGCCTTGCCTATACCCAGTAGAACAATAATCTTATTTTAGGCTCTCTCCTTTATTAAGTCTTTCCAAAACTGTCAACTTGGTTCTTACAGAAACACTAATTCTTTTTCTTTTGCATTCACATTTTCCTCAGTTTATGTGACCTTTATTAAGGTACAACTGGCATAAAACAGGCTGGGGAACAAACACCTCACTGAGGTGACATTCACGTCAATAGGTAGACGCAGTTGTATGTGGCATCCTGGAAGGTGTGAGCATCCTCTGGTCTGTGCATCAGTGTGCCCACCAGAAGGGACCAGCAGTCAGCATGTGTCACAGAGAGAATGCACAGGGTCACATAACTTGGCGTGTCAGTTATGAGAGACAGAACCTCACTTATGTGAAAACCCTTATGTGCTGTGAATTGGTGAATGGATAGCTGGCCTGTTGGGTTACATCCAGCTCTCTGATTATGTGACTGTCAGTTATCCTGTGATTGAACCATCTAGGGTTGCGTGTGGGAGTGGGAGTCAGAAGGCACGGAGGATCATATCTTTCATTTTACAATACATCACATAACGTTTGCTACATGGTCAACATGAATGGTTAAAAGCAAGCCCTCTCCGTAGAGAATACCTAAATAAGGGTAAATGCTTTCTTGAAGCAAACAGAAAACAACACTTGGAGAGATTTCCCATGTATACATAGAACATTGACTGCATGCATCTGTCTTCTCATAGTGTAGCTTGGCGGCTACGAGGCCTCTGGGGCCACACTGCCTGGGTTTGAATCCTGGTTCTGAACTTATAACTGACCAACTTTGGACCAGCGCCTGTCAGTTTCCTCATTCATAAAACAAGGAGAGCAATAGCACCGCCTGCCCCTTGGAGAGGGCTGCTAGTGGAGGCTGAGTCCTCGGGGAGAAGCACCAGGGGATGTAGAGAGATGGGTATAACCAAAACACAGAGATGAGGCTGCAGGCTGGGGGTGTCGGGTAGGAAAGGAGGTTTAACTGTGGAAAGGAGCTTCCACTGGCTTTGCAGGAGGACACCCCTGGAAGGAGGAACAGGGCAGAAAGCACAGGGCAATATGGGAATGGGAGTGCAGAGAGCAGAGGACCAGGGGACTTGTGCGCTGGGCAGAGCATGGCTAAGGGTGGCAGGGAGGAGAAACACAGTGGGATGATCTGTCTCAAGATTCTAAGATGAACTCTGGTTTACGAGGCTTTCCTAGACTCACCAGCTAGTATCTGAGGCTACATTATTGTTCTCTGCTCCGATTTCCAAATGGAAAATTGCTCTGTGCCCTGGTGACTTTCAGTCATGGGTAGAGTGGGGACATATAGTCAGAGTCCTGCGGGGAGGTGGTCACCTACGTAGCCTTTCAGCCTCCAAAAAGCTCAGCCCGGGCCGAAGAAGCTGACTGGGAAGGCCCCCGCCTTTCCCAAGAGGGGCCAGCTCCTTCCTCTAATTCCTTAGTTCTTTTTTTTTATAATAACAGTTTTATTAGGACATAATTCACATACTATACGATCCACCCATTTAAAGTGTGCTATTTAAAGGTTTTAGTCATTCACAGAATTTTACAATTACTACAATCAATTTTAGAACATTTTCATCACCCCAAAAAGAAACCTTGTACTCATTAACTGTCACGCCCTTCCCCCACTCACCCTCAATCCTCCTCCCAGCCTTAGGCAACTACCATCTGCCTTTTGTCTCTATATATTTGCCAATTCTGGACATTTTGTATAAATGAAATTATATAATATGAGGTCTCTTTTGATTGGCTTCTTTCACTTAGCATTTTAAATGTTCATCCATGTTGTAGCATGTATCATTACTTTTTATAGCTGAATACTATTCCATGGTATGGATATACCATAGGTTATCTATTCATCAGTTGATGGACATTTGGCTGGTTTCCACTATTTGGCTATTATGAATAATGTTGCTATGGACATTCATGTATGAGTTTTTGTGTGGACATATGCTTTTATTTCTTTTGGGTATATACCTAGGAGTGGAATTGCTGGGTCATATGCTTATAATTCCTTAGTTCTTTGCACGTACTTCCATTTTAGGACTTAGTATATGCATCACCAGTGCTCACAGATCTGCTTGCCCTGTCACACTATGAGCTTTCTTCATCTCACTTACCCCCTGGAACATAGCGCCCACAAAGCATTAAATAAATATGTGGGAGGCCCTCCATGGTGTCAAGTGCTGCTTACAGGCAGAATAAGACAAGGCCTGAGTACTGACCATCAGGTATTACAATGAGGGGTTCTCTGGTAACCTTGACAAGTAGTGAGTATGAAAGCCTGACTGAAGCGGGTTCAAGAAAGAATGGGAGCACCCCCACGTTCACTGCAGCATTATTTATAATAGCCAAGATATGGAAACGACCTACATGTCCATCACTGGAGGAACGGATAAAGAAGATGTGGTAAACACACACAATGGAGTACCACTCAGCCATAAAAGAAAGATGAAATCTTGCCATTTGCAACAACATGGATGGACCTCGAGAGTATTATGCTAAGCAAAATAAGTCAGCCACGGAAAGTCAAATACTGTATGATTTCACTCATATGTAGAAGATCAAAAAAACAAAACAAACAAACAAAATAAAACAACAACAAATTCATAGATACAGAGAACAGATTAGTGGTCACCAGGGGGGAATGGCGTGGGGGGTGAGCGAAATTGGTGAAGGGGGTCAACTGTATTGGATGGATGGTAACTAGACTTGTGGTTGTAGTGTACACCATACATGCTGTAGTGTACAGATGTCGAATTATAAAGCTGTACACCTGAAACTTATACAATAAAAAATAATAAATAAAATGGGCGAAGGTTGTCAAAAGATACAAACTTCTAGTTATAAGATGAATAAGGCATGGGGATGTAATGTACAGCATGGTGACTATATGTAACAATGCCGTATTGCATATTTGAAAGTTGCTAAGAGAGTAGACCTGAAAAGTTCTCATCACAAAAAATAAATTTGTAACTAAAAAAAAAAAAAGAATAGGAGAAGAATCACAAAAAGGAAGTAACGATCATTCTTTCAAGGAACTTTTCCATACAAGATAGCAGAGACATGGGACAGGAGCTGGACAGGGAAGTGGAATCAAGAGTGTTTTGGTTTTCTGAAGACGAGAAATGGCAACATGTTCATATGATCCTGTAGAAAGGTAAAAGCTGATGATGGGGAGACAGGTGGACAGACAAGAGTGATGTCGCTGAGGAGGTGAGAGGAGGTGTAAGCAGGTGCTTACACGTGTAAGCAGTGTTATAAATGGAATGTTTTGTCCCCTACAATTCAGACATTGAAGCTCTAACCCCCAATGTGACTGTGTTTGGAGACAGGGCCTGTGAGGCGGTGACAAACGTTCATGAGGTTATAAGGGTGGGCCCTAATCCAATAGGGCTGGTGCTCTTATAGGAAGAGGAAGAGACACCAGAGCTCTTCTCCTTGTCATGTGAGGACACAGGGAGAAGGCAGCCGTCTGCAAGCCAGGAAGGGGGCCCTCACCAGGAACTGAATCAGCAGACACCTTGATCTTGGACTTCTAGCCTCTAGAACTGTGAGAAATAAATTTCTGTTTTTTAAGCCAGCCATCTATGGTATTTTGTTATAGCAGGCTGAGCAGACTAAGACAAGTAGAGAAACCGGTTTTAGGAGCAAGGAGAGTTCACTCACTGTAACAGGAGAGGAGGCAAAGTCCACAAGTGCCAACACAGGTGTGGGTGTGCAGATGTGCGGTGGGAGGCAGAGGGGGTCTCTTCTGAATGCTTGTATTTTTTTGAGTGACATGGGAGGCAAGGGGAGCAGTTGAGAGTGAGGGCACAGGGCTGCAGATCTAAGAAGAAAGATGAGGAGACAGTGAGTGGACCCAGGCAATACGATGAAGACATCTGAAAAACACTGAATCCATTTGAAGTTTGTGGTCATTGAAGCGAAAGGCACTGGTGGTGCCTTTTTCCCCAGGGAGGTTCAGCAGTTTGGGTGCAGGGAGGGAAGGGGTAGAGATGACTCTAACCATGGTTGCGATTTGGCCAAATGAGAATGACAAGTGAGAGGGTAAAAGAGTGCAGGTGAAGGAATAATTATACTGATGAGCAGGCAGGAAGGAGAAAGAGAATGCAAAGGGTTGAGGGCCAGGGAAAAGATGGTGGGATCACTGGTGTGCAGGTCCTGGCAGGGCTGCAGGATTTTTGGAGTTGGGGCCCTCCAGGGAGTGATGTGGAAGATAGGGAGGGGAGAGGGGATGCCTGTAACTGAGACTATGGGGGCTGTGGGTATTGGTAGGAGCAGGACCAGGGTGGCATCTGCTGAGAAAGGGAGATGACAGATCCTTGGGGGAGACCATGGCAGAGTACTGGATTTGCAGGTTTTGAAAACACTCACATTCTAAAAGGAGCAGTATTAAGAGAGTGATTTCAACCTTGTGCTAAAATCTTCATGGGATGAGGAATAACCAAGATAACTTACAAAGGGGTGTCAGGAGGTGGCAATCTGCTGGCCAGAGCATCAAAGGCGAGGAAGAAGCAAGGGTCTGGAGGCAGAGAGGAGCAAGGAGGATGCCTTCCCTCCCCCCAGGCCCAGCAGGGGGCACAGGAGAGGAAGCAGCTGTCCCTTGAGAAGGCCTTGGGAAGCAGCATCCTCGGGGAGAGCCAGGTTTAACGCGAATAGAAAGGAGAAGGGAACATTCATAGGAGAGGACACCAGGAATCTTGTTGTTCCTGGATGGGGCCAGAAAAGGCCAGATAGAGCATATGGAGATGAAAGTCTGGAAGATGAAGATGTTCTGGGAGTCCCAGGCTCCCTATAGGGCCTGGAATAAAGGGTTCGGCAAGATTAGTCAGAGGCACACTTCGATAGGAAGCTACGCCACCTGGAGGTGGGGGGACTAGGGAGAAGTAGGGGTCTTCCCAGGAGTACTCAGGGCTCCCAGGCCCCTGCCTCACTCTCGCTGACGGCTCTGGAGAGCCTGGATGGAGCTGTCTCACGGGGCCCTGTTCACACACCCGCCTTGGAGTGAAAAAGCATTATTTCTTCTTTCAGACTGAAGACTCTCATGGGACAGAAATTCCAGGGGTAGCACGGCTCAGGAGCTAAGCCCTCTGCATGCTGACTCTGGGATCTGGGGTTTACATGATGGCTGCCCGAGGGACAGCAGGCTCTCCACTTCCTTATTCAGGAGACGCTGCTGTTCTGCATTTGTACGTGACTTGACAGTTTGTTACGAGTTCTCGGCTGTTCACCTGCTAAGGGGACAGCTGACACGACAGACTAAGTGGATTAAGAGATCTTGATGAGACAAGTCTCCCTGCCCACCCAGGTTATACACCAGCATTTGGATGGTGGTGATCTGGTCTTTTCAAAAGAAACAGAAGACCTGTATGTTCTTGCTTCTTGTCAACAGCCATAGACCTAAGAAGCAAAAGGACTTTGTCCATCTTCTCCCTCACTCTACTACCAATCCTGCAATGAATTATTTCTCCTCTAAAACAAAACAGAAGTCGAGTACAGATTTTAGTAAAAAGCCTTCACCTGCTGAGGTATGTGACTATTTTATTTTTCTAATTTAACAGGAAAAATGAGCCAAACCACCTAGTCACTTATGTACATTAATTTACATTTATTTACAAAAGTTTGTATCTCTCCAATCCACAGCTTACAAGAAACATTTGACAGCTAGGAGAGTGAGCACCCAGTCACAGAAAGTGTTGGTAACAGAGCAGAAACTAATGCTTGTTTTTATTGCTTGATATTTCTTGTAAAAAAAAAAAACGGCTCTGATGAACTGCTTCAAGTTAGACTTCCAAAGTTTCCTCAAAGATGATGTAAAAGTCGAATGGTAAATCAGACAGCTTTTCAAAGTATTTAAATAACTTAGTTACTACACATTCGACTTCATCTTCTATTACCAATCAACTGAAGCTATAAAAAAAAAAAAGTCTCATGTTAGTAACATAAAATGCAGTCAATCTGTGCTACAGACAAAGAGTCTTAACTACTCTCCTAGGCTAATGTGAGTAGCCCTTTTGTAATAGAGCCATCAAAACCAAAGGCGCTAGGGAGAGGAGAGGGGGGGAGACTTGTCTTGAGCCCTCACAGGATGGTAGCTGGAGCTCCACCTTCAGTGCACAGCACTGACTAACAGTCCCATCGCCTCAAACCAACTCAGTCTTTGTAACTGAAATTTCCAAAACACAGAGCTGAGACCATAATCCTCATATGTCAACTGTCACCCCCAACAGTCACTTCCCTCTTTGCCACATGGGAATGGCTGACTTCCTACTTCAACTTCTCTTCCTGTTAAGTCACCTCTGCGGTGACGACAAACCACCTGGGTCATCTCAGAGGAAATCAGCCCAAATACAGAGCTGCAGCCGTGCCTGAGGGAGCCCCTTCAAACGCCGATTCCGTTCTCGGCCTCCCGCCTTCCCCGCTGTCTGTATTTCCACAGACTAGACCAGAGTGCCCAAAATGTCTGTATTCCATTGGTAACAAGAGTTCATAAAAAATGAGTGCTGTGAGGGCCGGCCCCGTGGCTTAGCGGTTAAGTGCACGTGCTCCGCTGCTGGCAGCCCGGGTTCAGATCCCGGACGCACACCGCTTCTCCGGCCATGCTGGGGCCGCGTCCCACATACAGCAACTGGAAGGATGTGCAGCTATGACATACAACTATCTACTGGGCTTTGGGGGGAAAAATACATAAATAAAATCTTTAAAAAAAAAAAAAATGAGTGCTGTGGCCACAGGGGTTAAGCAAAGGAAAGCAAATTAGTGCTCGTCCTTATTAAGAACCTCACAGAGCACAAAAACGGGTGCTGTGAATTTTTGAGGGGGACAAGTGGGAGGCGTTTCTCAAACTAGTTCGGGCAGGCCCAGGTCTCCTCCTGAGGGCAGCACCCTGGGGGGCTTGGTGCCCCCTCTGCCGCCCGCCCCCTCCCCAGGGGCCTCCTCATTCGCCCCCACAGCCTCAGTCTCAGCCACCGGCAAAGAAGCAGGCCTGCCCCTCCAGCTCGGCTTCAGGCCCAGACGCCACCAGCCAATCCTTCTTCCCAGAGAAACAGGGGATTCTGCTCCCTTCTTAATTGGGTTGACTCTGTGATCTGTTTTCCAGACATTTACCAAAAATTCAGAACACCAGCCCTCCCAGAAATTGTCGAATCGGAACCATCTGGTGAGAAGGGTAATGTCGGGTTCATTTTCCCTCAGATATCTGGTATCTACTTGGCTGTCCTCGGATATTTATAATTGGGTTTAACTCTCCCAGACACTGTCCTCACAGCGATGTGACAATTTTACATTTGTTCCTGGTTGTACTTGTCCCCTCCCCAACTCCTCCCCCAATCCCTGCCTGCCACCATATACAATCACCCTTTCCTGATTGAGTTTAGGGAACATCCCCTGCAGCCACAGTGGGCTCTTAAAATTTAAAAATTATTATTAAATACGTAGGAAACACACGAAATTTGAATAGAAAAAAATACATATACCAAGAAAAGTAAGCTCCTCTCCCACACCCAGCCCCAAGCTCACCAGGTTGCTCCCCAGGATGTCACCCTAAGATGTCAGTTTCACCTTCCTAGACTCATCATCACAAAGCAGTGTTTCTCATGGAAAACTCTCCTGCTCGAGAACCTACAACCGCTCCCTGTTCCTATATCACTACATTTTAATGCCCCTGACTTCCAAAGATTTCCTTGCAAATATTCAGTCTCTTTGGTCACTTCTTCAACTTGATGTTAAGCAGGCCAATCTCTTGATCAAATAACCACAGTGGGTTTAGTTCCCTCCATGTCTTGGCCTCTGCTGCTTCTCCCAGCTACAATGCCTTTTCCGTTTCACTTTTGCTTCGAAGATCTAGCTCACCTGGTACTCCCTTCAAAGCCTTCGTGATTACTCTGGCCTCTTCAAGTCCCCCCTGCTGGTTGTCCAGCCCTGACCATCCACATCACAAATTCTGGCCCATCGCCACGTGCTTCTTGCCTAAATCCTTCTGTTTCTTATGCACACGTCCACTCTCCCCAGTGTGACCATAAGCTCCTCGATGGGAGGATAAGCCCTAATATACGCTTTCTCTGAAGCCCACACAATGTCTAGCCTCAGTGGGTACATTGATCTTAAGCCATCACCTAACAAAGTGCCTGACATTGAGTAATCTCCATAAATGTTTGTTGACTAAATAAAGGAGCAGGTAAGGAATGGGTCCTGGGATACTCCTTCAGCTTTCTCAGTGGCCTGGATGACTGCTCTCCCCTGAACACATTCCTTGTCATTGTTTGTGATGGCCACGCCTCTACTGTAACCACCTGGACCTCAGCAGAGGCCCACCATGGATTTTGCCCTCACCTGGCACTCAACGCATATTGCTTCAAATCTGAAATGCCCCACCTCTGACCACGGTCCCCTAGTCTTCTACCTCTCCCCACCTCACTGCCAGCACACTTTTTCCTCCCCTCATCGATGGTCACTCGACTCCTTTCCACCCCCTCTCCATGTGGTCTCCTGACCCACCAACCCCCATGGCCTCAGCACTCCTGCCCAGCCTGTGCCCACAGCCAGCTGAGCTGTCCCTTGGAATCCCTGGCCCTACACCTTCTGCCACAGCTGTCTTCCTAGGTAACCCAGGCACTGTTTCGCCTGGCAGCTGGGGAAAAAGGAAACCTCAGAGCCCATCCCTTGGTCCCACTTCAGCCAGGCCCTCGCTGCTGCGCGCCAATCCTTTCTTTACCCCCACCCGAACCACTCACCCAACAGCTTTCTTGAAAATCAGCAACTCGCTCAACAAAGCCAGAGGTCTTGACCACCTGTCCTCCTTCTTCGCCTCTCTGCAGCTTTAACATGGGGGCTCCTCCCTCGGGATCTCTAACAGGGTCTACCCTGGCTCTCCTCCAGGACTTCTCCCATCCTGCTTCCTCTACCTCTTCCCACCCCTGCGGGCCTCTGGCTTCTCTTTCTTGGTGACCTCAGATGCTCAGGGCATCAGTCACCATCCTGATGAAGATGCTCCCCAATCTGTAACTCCAGCCCCTAAAGCCACTTCTTCAGTTATGTGCTGGACATCACTGCCCAAGAAATGTGCCCACACCCCAAACTCAGCTGTCAAAGCACAAATTCATCTTCCCAAACAACAGCCCTGTCTGACTCCTCTGCTACACCTGGTAGTGCCACCATCCTCTGGGCACCAAGAGTCAGAATTCCTGTTGCTTTTGGCTTCTTTCTTGAAGAATAATCATAATCACAATCATAACAGCTAACATTTATTGAGCACTATTATGAGTCAGTCACTATTCTTAGCATTTCACTTATATTAACTTGTTTGTACATCTTGTTATTTCTATGCTATTATTACCTATGCTATCATTGTTATTTCTATACTATTATTATACCCATTTTCCACAAGACAACTGAGGCACAGGGGGTTTAAGCGACTTGTCCAAGGCCTGGGAGGGATGGAACTGGCATTTAACGGCAAGGATCCTGGCACCAGACCCTGCACTCTCAGCTGAAACTTTTGTTAACATGATCTCCACACTTTGTCTCAAACCTAGCCCTCTATATTCGCTTCTGTGCCCTGATTCAGGCCCTCTCCTCTGCTTGGTTGGATTATTTCATTTATCCACTAACCAGTGTCCCCATCTCCAGCCTCGTGTCTATTAATTCACCCTATGCTTTGCTAGCAAAGTAACCTTTCCACAGCACAGCTCTGCTCAAAAATCCTCAGTAGTTTCTCAGAAAAAGCAACCCAAACCTCTTGGCAACTCTCTCTCAATATCTTAGCCTGGGCCAACCTGCTCCTCCAGCCCCATCTTCCTCTCTTCCACCAACATTTGCTGCCCCAAAGAGGAGGACTCGCCTCCCTATCCTGCCCTTTACAGTCCTGGGCCTTTCTCTTCCCCTCATCCCTCAAAACCCAGCTCCTGGGCCCCTACCTCCTGACCACCAGGGGGATCTGCCAGGAGGGGGCCTTCCGGAGCCTCCTTATGCCAATTGACTTAACCACCATTGCTGCTGTGAATTGTGTTTGGGTCCTATAGTTTGTTCATGATACAGGCCCAGCTCTGACCCTGGCTCCTGAGAAGAACCCAGTCCTTGGTCCAATTTCTCTGGGATGAGAGACGGAGGGAGTATCTTGTGGTGGGTAACAAACAGTATACCCCTTGGAGTCTGAAGACCTCGATGTGAATCCTAGCTCCACCACTGGGACTTGACTTCTCTGAGTCTCACACTCGCTGTCTCTAAGCAAGTGGTAATGAGACCCCCGTGCAAGGAATCATTGAGAGGGTTCAATGAACTGATATAAGGAAAGTGGCTAGCACAGTGCCTGGCATACGATCAGCGCTTAATGAACTGTGGTTAGTACATCTGCTGATCTTACTTATTACTGTTCAAGGCAACTGACAGATAAGTAGAATCTGGCTCCCCAAGTAACAGGCCTCTACATCAGCGCTGTTCTGGTTCCAGTGCATGATATACAACTTACCCACTGCACAGTCTACAGGGTACTTTACGTGCTTCTGTCTCTTGCTTGGCGACATCTCTGAACAACTACAAATGAAGATATTTTCATCTCGATTAAAGAATTGAAAAGAGAAGCTGGAATCTGGAGTTACTGACTGCCTATTAGAGACATGAATCTAGAAAATGTTAAACCAGAGCCCTGTCAAGCTGATGTTTCCTACTCTCCTAAATGCCTAAGTCAAACTGGCTACAGAGTTGGTCCAAAGAGTTGTTCAAAAACTGGTCATCAGACGACAGAAAAACAAAAACTGCTGACGAAAGGGTTATTTCTACAGCAGCTTGTGCATAAGGCTAAAGATGAACGGAGGGCTACAGCGGTTTGGACTAGCACTGCCCAATAAGAATATAATGTGAGCCACATAAGTAATTTTAAATTTTTAGTAGCCACATTACAAAGTACAAAGAAATAGCTGAAATCAATTTTCATAATATATTTTATTTATTAGCCCAACAAATCAAAAATATTATCATTGTAACATGTAATCGATATAAACATTATTGATATTTTACATGCCTTTTTTTATACTTGTAAATCCAGTGTGTATTTTATACTTACAGCACATCTCATTTTGGACTCCCAAATTTCAAGGGTTCAACAGCCACATGTGCCTCGTGGCTGCCATTTTGGAAAGCACAGGTTTGGACGTTAAGATACCACTCCCACACATGTGTGCATCAGTTTCCTCCCCAGAAAAGGCATCAGCCCAAACCTGGAGCCGCGATAGCGGTCCAGCCGCCTCGTCCAGAGGCTTGACTGAGCTTGTAAAGGTGCTGGTCAACCACGACCAGCCACCGGAGCTGTTTACCTTCAACTCTCTCCCCTTATGAAGGCTCCATGCCAAATGCCTCACTCTTTACCAATTAATGGCTTCAGGGAGGCTTGCTGAAATAATTATTTTTTTAGAACAATTTTTTTCAGGTTATATGGCACTACCAGTATGGACCACTGGAGTAGTTTTCTCTCTTTTGCATTAGTAATTTTCTAACTTTTTTAAAGCTAAATCAACCAACTGTTTTGAAGTTATATGGGTACTCAGTGCCACCCTTCTTTGGTTCAGGTATTCTGAAGACTGAGTGGAAAACGGTTTTGGTTTCTGGGGACCAATCCATTAAGGAGATGATTAACTATAATACTGCTATTTGGGGACTAAAAATAACTTTCCTTTTTTTTCCCCCCAAAACCCCAGTAGATAGTTGTATGTCATAGTTGCACATCCTTCCAGTTGCTGTATGTGGGACGCAGCCTCAGCATGGCCGGAAAAGCGGTGCGTCGGTGCAGGCCCGGGATCCGAACCTGGGCTGCCAGTAGCAGAGCGTGCGCACTTAACCGCTAAGCCACGGGGCCAGCCCAAAAATAACTTTCTTAAAAGAACATTTGAGCTTCTAAAATATTTTAGTCATTTGTAATGATGCCTCAAAACTTTCTTCAGCTTTTACATCTCGTTTAGAGGAGAGTCAATTGACTGATAATCTATTACTCAGGGATATTCATAGTATTTGCAACCTATAATATGGAAACACTATCCTCAGGAAATCATATTCTAGTGGCAATAACCCCAAATAATCTAGGTCAGCACTGACCAATAGAACTTTCTGCAATGATGGAATTATTCTATATCTGGGCTGTCCAATTATGGTAGCTATGAGCTACATGTGACTAATGAGCACTCGGCATGTAGCTAGTGCAAATGAGAACTGAATTTTAAATTTTATTTCATTTTAACTAATTAAATTTTATATTTAAACCACTACATGTGGCTAGTGCCTACTGTACCGAACAGTGCAGGTCTAGGGAAACTGAAATCTAGTTGGCAAACTTGGTTCAAGACACAAGTGAGAAATGACATGGACCCTAGATGCCACCACCTTGCAGAAATCTTACTCCTTAGCACTGCCTGTGGGAACGACAGATTAGTCTTGCAAATTTCCTTTCGGTGAAAGCAGATATGGAAACTGTTGGGGCTTCAAGAACACCTACTCTTCACATTTACGGTCTGGTCAATGTCCTCTGGGCCTCGAGGAGGGGTTTCTTGTCATCAGGAAAGAACAGGCTGGGAACAAGTCACCAGTTCTCCAGGGCATATGGGTTGCTTTCTAGGTTGGCCCAAGATCTCAGGGGACTGAGGAAGGCTCAAGAAGGCAACACAGATAACACCAGATAATTTTTACCCACTCCCAAATCACCCAACTCAACAAAAGCACCTTCCTATCTGGGACCTCATTCTAGGCTATAAGACATGGAAATTATGACCATGGCAGCTAAGATTAAGGGGTCTTCTGCAAACTGGCTTGGAGAACAGAAATATAACTATACGTCAAGGGAACCACAGATAGAAGGTGGCTGTGGAACAGTCCAGGAATATTTGGCTGTGTTCCTATGCAAAAGCTCTCTCCAGCCCAAGGATTCACGCAGAATCTTGGGAACCTGGCACACTCAGCAGCCCCAGAGAACAATTAAAACAAAAAAGATTTTGTTTGTTTTGAAATGTCTAAAATTTAATATTTTATTTTCATCTTCAAACTATTCATTTTCTAGCTGTTGAAAAATCAATTTGAATTAGAAAACTCTTTTTTTAAAAGAAAGTATACATACCTTTTACAGCTACAAAAATAACTCCTCCAACTATCACTGCTAGTGCGACTGCTAAAACCCCAAACCTCCGCCTGGTATTACCTGTAACAAAAAGAAAGAAATATAATTAGCCAAATTGCTCAAAATAGAGATACAGCCGATCCTTCTTATTTGCAGCCTCTGTATTTGCAATTTACCTACTTGCTAAAATTTATTTACGAAATCAACACTCATAGCACTTTCACGGTCATTCGAGGACATGTGCAGCAGAATGTGAAAAATCTGAGTTGCCCGATGCACACAGTCCCAGCTGAGTTTGGACAAGGCAATGCTCTGCCTTCTTTGTTTTGGTTCTTATACCATAAACAAGTGCCCCTTTTCTGGTCTATTTAGTGCCACGTTTTCCACATTTTTGTGCTTTCTGTTGGCTATTTCACTGTTTAAACTGGCCCCCAAGTATGTGCTGAAGTGCTATCTAGTGTTCCTAAGCACAAGAAAGCTGTGATGTGCCTTGTGGAGAAAATGTGTGTTAGATACGCTTTATTTAAGCATGAGTTATAGTGCTGTTGGCCATGAGTTCAGTGTTAATGAATCAACTATATATACATATATACCTATACACACACACTATATATATATATACACACACAACACATATATACTATATATATATTAAATAAGGTGTCTTTAAAAAGAAACACACAAAACAAGGTTATGTATTGATATTTTGCCAAAAATATTGTGACCAGAGGCTGGCAGGAACCTAAGCCTCTATTTCCCCTGGGAGCTATGGTTCAGTACTCGCTAATTCCATGTTCACAGTGACTTTATAGAACATAACTACCATGAATAAAGAAAACAGACTGCGTTTCTAAGTAAACTTATATGCAAAGGGTTGATATACATCAGGCCTAGTGTTATTTAATGAGAGAAGCAAATATTTGCTATAATTTTGCTTTCAGGGGGCCAGCCTGGCGGTGCAGTGGTTAAGTGCGCGTGCTCCGATGCAGCGGCCTGGGGTTTGCAGGTTCGGATCCTGGGCGCGCACCGACGCACGGCTTGCTAAGCCATGCTGTGGCGGCATCCCATATAAAGTAGAAGAGGATGGGCATGGATGTTAGCCCAGGGCCAATCTTCCTCAAGAAAAAAGAGGAGGATTGGCATTGGATGTTAGCTCAGGGCTAGTCCTCCTCACAAAGAAAACAAAAAGCAAAAAAACAACAAAAAAAATTTGCTTTCAGCCTTCCTGCATGCCCAGTGGAAGCATAACTTGGCCTCATGTGTAGAGCGATGCAGCAGTGGTGCCTAACAATGCTCATCCCGCAGCAGCTGGACACGGCTAAGTGAGGTCCTGCAGTCTCACTGAATCATTACAGCAGTGTCGGGTAAGTGTTTTAACATCTGTTGCCTCAGTTTGCTCACAGGGTTAACTGTAAATGGGACTGATAAATACACCTATCTCATAGGGCAGTTGTGAGCATTAATTGAGTCAATACACTTAAAAAAAACAGCTACTAGCTATTACCACTAACCCTACTGAGTAGACGCTATTGGTATCTCTACTAATGTTCTTTGATTGTGCAATTACATTTCCAAGATGCTAACCTACAGAAACCATCAGTGATCTGCCCCTCTCCTCCCTCCAAAAAAGGCACAAAGATATATACTGCAGCCTTAGTTACAACATCAACAAGCTAAAACAGCCTAAGTGTCCTCAACAGAAAAGTATGGTATGTTCATGAGGTGGTCTCTATCCAGCCACTAAAAGTCCAAAGGCAGAATACTTAAGAAAATGGCAAAATGATCACAATGCACCACTCGGGATGGTGGTCACTAACAGCAAGTACAACATGGATAAGAAGGGAGAGGAGGGGAGGGGAGGGGAAAGAGAAAATGAATGAAGAAATGAGAATGAGAATATGAACATACACCCTTTCCTCTTATTAGGAACACAAGTGGGTTAGAACAAATTGGTTTGATCTGAGAGGCCCCTGGCCAGAAACTGCTAGTTGCCCCCCACATCCATTCTCCCCTCTTTAGTAACAGAATTCAGATTTTCAGCTGGGCATACTGCCACTCACTGAAAACAATTTCTCAGCCTTTCTCGCAGCTAGGTTTGAGCACATGACTAAGTTTTAGGCAATGAGATGCAAGAAGGTTGTGTGGTACTTCTCAAAAGCCTCCCTAAAAGGGTGGGCACACCATTCTCCCCTTTCTGGACCCTGCTGCCTGAACCAGCCGGGAGCAGCAGGAACTGGACTGCACGTGGGCTCTGACAACTCCACAAAGCCACAATATGCCCAGGGCTGCCTATCTCCATTTTTTTTTTTAATGTAAAAGAAGTAATCTACATTTTTAAGCCACCGATACTTTAAAAAAATTTTTTTTAATCAGCTGAATGTAATGTTACTTGACAGAGTCTCTTCCAAAAACTCTTCTCCCACGGGATGATGCCAGATGCTGTCATCACTTTGGGACAGCAGATAATTAGGGGAGATGACAACAATAATAGAAGTTAATTCTCTTCTTCCTTCTTGACCTGCCCATTGCATTGACAGTTGCTCACTCCCTCTTCACTTGGCTTCTATGATACCACGTTCTGGAGTTTTCTTCCTATCTCCCCAGTGGTCGTTTTTAGTCTCCTTTGCTGGATCCTCTTCCTCTTAACAGCCTCTAAATGCTGGAGTCCCCAAGACTCAGTTCTAGGACACCTCTCTCCGATACCTGGTCTCTAAGTGATCCCCTCTAGTCCCATGACTTTAAATGCCTATTATGCTGTGATTATGCCCAAATTCATACCTCCAGCCCAAACTACTCACTAGAGACCTAGACTCAAACATCAAAGTGCCTTACTTGACGTCCCACTTGAAATCTAACAGGCATCTCAACAATACGTCCCAAACCAAACTTTCGTTTTCCTCCACACACCTGCTGTTCTCCCGCTTTCCAGTCTAATAAACAGGAACACAATCCATCCAGCTGCTTGGGCCAGAAATCAAGGAGTCACTTGGATATTTTTTATTGGGCACCCTTCTTCCCCACTCAAACCATTAGAAAATCCTCTTGGTTCTATTTTTAAAATGTATCCTAACTTGATTCACTTCTCCCAACCTCCACCACCGTCAGTCTAGTCCAAGACACCACACTCTCTTGCTTAGACCAACAGTTTCCAAATTAGGTGCATATACCCTTGGAAGTACATAAGATGACCAGTTACGTGCAAAAAAAAAATTAGAATCTCTATTACATTTACTATTTATATCATTCTTTAATTTTTTTCAATTTTGTCTATGTTTTAAAATGGTACAAGTTAGATTCCTTTAGTAGTACACTATTGTTCCCAATACCCAATCTCTCCTTTTTCCTTTGGTAACAGAACCCCTGTGTTTTAAATGGGCACATGGCCAGCCAGCCAAGGATGACATTTCCCAGCCTCCCTCAGCGGGGTATGGCCATGAACTCAGTCTGGCTAAGGGGGTGTGGATGGAAGTGGTGCACGGCACGCTGGGGTGATCTCTAAAGGGAGGGACGGTGCTCTATCCTGCTCCTGCTCCTTCTCCCTTCCCACTGGGTATGAAGCAGGTAGAGACGTGGACTCTTGTCTGCTTGACTCAGAGAACCCAATTTTTAAGCCATATTTCAGTACATATTTCCAAAAGATAAGGATTATTTGTAAAACATAACCATGCCATTATCATACCTAAAAAATTGTTTAATATAATCAAATATGCAGTCACTGTTTAAATTTCTATTTTTTACTTTTTTCTGTTTAAACCGGATCAAATAAGGTCCATATATTGCAATTAATTGATACGTTTTTTAAATCTCTTTAACCTCTAAGTTTCCCTCATTGCCTCTCTTCTTCTTCTCCTTATAATTTACTTATTGAAGAAATCTGATTCTGTAGAATTCCCCACAACCTGTAATATCATTTAATATGGTATGGTTTTCACTAGTCAACTTTTGTGAATCAGTCAAAATTTTTTCTTAACTTGATTTATTTTGAGACACGTAAAGAGCCAGGATGGAGTCATGGGAAAAAACTCCAGAATTTGGAAGACCTAAATTTTAATTCTATCTCTATTACTTAAGTGACCTTGGGGAAGTCACCCCACCTGGTTGAACCTGTCTCCTCACTCTTACAAAGTAAATTACAATCCCAGTCCAGCCAGTCTACAATGGTGGTGGTGAGGAGCAAATGAGACAGTTATTTGGACGAGTTTGCCAAAGAGTAGCAGGCTAGTCAATGTGAGTTACTATGCTTCATGAATAAAGCAACAGAAAGGCTGGATAAAAAATAAACAGCTGAAAAAGTAAGACTGAGTATTTAACTGTTATACCTTCATGGATTTATATCTGTTATGATGCATGCAACTCCAGAGAAAAGTATTCAAAAATCATTACAGGAAAAAAGAGACCCTAGACTTTTATTGTTGAAAAGAACCATTCAAGTCATTAAGCTCAGGCCCCAGTTTTACAGAAAAGAAAAAGGTCCCCCAACATCTGGTTAGTGGAGACCAAGGACAGGACCCCAGAGATATGTCTCAAATATCAACACTACTCCAGGATTTAAATGACCTAAGAACTATCTAGCAATGTTTCTCAAACTTTCAAAATCTACAATGTGATGTGAACTATCAATCTGGGGGAAATGTAAAAGAAAGACAAATTACAATTATTTAATTAAAAAAAGGGCTGTTTTCAAATTAATAACACTCATTTCACATCAGTGAGAGGGATGTTATCTTGATCTTTTCTCAAACTATCCGCAGAGAAGAGCATCTTCCTTGGGTATTCAATTCTAATGGCAAAGGTTAAGTGAAAACCGTGCAAGCACAAAATGCTTGAAAATCTCTTAAAATATTCCATATAATTCTATAGAAGATCTTATTCGGAAATTGTCTCCTTCAAGTATTTTGTCTCTTGGAACACCCGAAGCTTTTCAAGATTTCAACCTGCTTGTTCATTATGCACACGGTCACCCTCTTTCTACTTGTTGGTTACGTATGCTGCATACGTACCAAAGCCAAAAGCAAGCTGGTTTTGTTTTCGGTCGTTCCCACTGTAAAGCAACTATCTGCTAGCACACTGTATGACCTGGGTTTAGGCAGCACTCAATAAGCGGAATAAAGGAATTAATAAAGGAATAAAGCATAAAAATTGTCATTAACTTTGCAGCTGGTTTTTGGCAATTGTGTGACTTGTGCGAATGGTGCCACTTTGAGTGACACCTCTGTGGGTTTGGTCTTTTCTCTGTCTTTAGGGACCAAATCCATCAGTTATGAATCAGAACTCATTTTGGACTTTTTCTGGAAATATTTGTTTACTTTACCCAAGAAGTCACTCTGCTCTGTCTGAAAATGATATAATAACCTTAATGGCTTTATGTCACTTTTTGCAAAGTTTCAGAAAGTACAATACATGGGAGACTTAGGGAGAATGGTTCACCAGTCAAATAAAATTCAAGTTTTTTACATTCATTATATCTACTAATTGCCCTTTTCTGTTTCAGTTGCTTGTTCAGAAAAGAAATTCATTCACAGAGTGACCCTATGTATCCCAGCCCAAAGAGATTCATATTCTCTATCTGCCTTGGAATCCTGTTCACTATTTACAACTACGATATTATTCTGAATTATAGTATTTACTATTTCCATCTCTTCTTTTATGTTTTAATGAACCACTTTCAAGTCACTGATCCCTTTGTTTGCAAGCTGGGAGTATAATGTAAAAATAGACAATAAAAATTGTAAATTACAAATGTACATGATACTTAACATAAAAACACCATAGATGAGAGGGATTGTCATGCTACTAACTGTTAGCCTAGACAAACGTATCAAATGCACATTCTTGTAGCACACATACAACCTTTAAGAACACAATGGTTACTAAGGATATTATGAAGCAGTATGGTGAATAATTAAGAGCATGGGCCCTGGAGCCAAATGGCCTGATTTCAAAACCAGGCTCTGCCACTTACTCGCTGTTGACCTTGGGCAAACAACTTAAACTCCTTGTGTCTTGGTTTCTCCCCATAAAATAAGGAAAATTACTAGCACCCAACTCATAGGGTTGTGCGAGGATTGAATTAATTAACATGTATTAACACGGTGCTTGATATAGAAAGTGCTAAAAAATGTTAGCTTTATATCTATAATGGAATGTCTGTGAAAATTGTAACTCATTTTACATTTCAAATTTGTGAAATGTATGTTAGCCACTCTATCTGTGGTTTGAAACACACAAAGCACCCCTGGTTGGTGGACCCCACTTGTATACAGTATCTCTGCCATGACACATTTAGTTATTTACTCACCGTGTGGGACACAAGTGTCCAAAACGATTGATGATGCATTTCTGAATAATGGATTGCTAACGACACACTCTATTGTCCGTGAGAGAGCATCTGTCTTGTTAACACACACTTCTGATGATTCTGAGCCAGTTTTACACTGTGCTGAGAAGCAATTCCATGAGTACCTTATAAGGTCTATATGGCTGCTGTAAGGTTTCGGAATCCTGCATTGGACCCTAACAGTTTCATTAGCCAATGTACAATTTAGTGTCGGAGACGGAAGAGGCTCTGGAAAAAAAAAAAAATGTATATTTAGTACAGAAAAGAGTAATATTTAGACTCATCATCTGCACATTTATGAAGAGCTCCCAACTTCCTTATGAGCTTGAAAAGACGAACAGACTATCTCCTTGAGCACCAACAGGAGAGAATTCACTCTTCTTCTGGGTCAGATCTACCTGCTCAAATTCAGATTACTTACAGGCCTCAAATCCCTTATCCTCATTTTGAAAGCCAAAAGATTTCACACAAGATGGTAGAAAAGTCATTTAGCTGCAAATCCTGATCAGAACAGACATGAGGATTTATAGTTTTTATTTTTCTCACTTACTTCAAATATTCATTATAGTGTTTTACTAAAAATGTTAACGTGCTTGAGTATAGGGTGCTCCCCATAACTCAGCAGGGTGCTTCTTAACACACACAGAGGAAAGAGTTTATATCACCCTTCTAAAATCTGAAAAATGTTTAATTTCAAAACATGAGGCTCAAAGGGTTTTGCAAAAGGTACCGTGGAGCTGTACTGTGGGCTGGCCCTGCTAAGAGGCAGAGTAGGGTGTGGCACATGTCACAGACCTGCCAGTCTCATGCCCAGCTTTCCTCTAGGAAGTGCCTCCTGCTGGCTAAGGCAGCCTAGACTTGCAGGCCTGGGTTAAGACACCCACATGTCACATTACACCATTATTGCCCTCTAAAACCTCAATGCTAATTAGTTTGTCCCATTAGTCATGCATTTATTTGTTAATTCACATGCATTCTTGCCTCTGCACTTTTCCCCAACAACTAATCATAAGAGACTTGAGAAAACATGTAAAAATACATTGAATATACAAAAAATGGTCATGGTAGCATTTGAATAATAAAATTTCAATGTAATAAACATCTACTAAAAAGTGAATTAAAGTTCATGGAGATGATGGAATATTATGCTGTCATTTAAAACGATATTTTCTAAGACAAAAGAATGCTTAAACTCTAATTAATAATCTAAAAAATGAAAGTATTCAATTTATCTTTCCCCTCATCTTCTCCCCCTGAATTCTTCCTCGCTCGGTGAAATAATGCACCCAGCCTGCCTTGTTAGAGACCCGAGTCATACATGACTTCCCTTTCCGCTTGGGGCTTCCTCAGTTTTTAGGTTTAATCCTGGTCACATGACTCATCACATACTCCCTTAAAGTTTTTCTTTAGGTAAAAGAACTTTTAAGCTTTTTTTAAGCAGTGGAAACCTTTTCCAAATTAAATATTAAGCAGGAAACCAATATCCTTCAAAAGGATAAGAAGTTGCTCTAGTTAACTCAAAATTGGAGAGCCCAGAGCTCCCCTCCCTCGGCCTCCTCAGGTCCACCCTGCCCGCCACACTCCTACAACAGCCCGAGGCTCTTCCAATGAGCCCCACGTGTCTCCAGAACAGTTGAGAAACAGAAATGACTGTTCTAGGTAACTCCGTGTACTTAGGCCTGCCTCTGTATCTTGGCCGGCCATTTCTCAGGGGCAGGAAATCAAACTTTCCACTTCCTTGGAAATGTTCCATAGAAGCATTTCTCAAATATTAATGTGCCTAAGAATCACCTAGGGTGTGTGTAAAATATATAGATTCCTCGTCCCACCACCCCAGGTGATTCTGATGTGGGTGCTCCCTGTGTTCCGTTACAGATCCTAGTTTATTATCTAGTTCAGCCAATGTCTACCATTTCACCAAACATTTTCTAAACTGAACAGAGGTGCATCATGAATCCCCTCAAACTGTGCATCTTTGGAGGGTAAAGACCAGGCATTATTCACCTCTTAGCCACAGCATCTGACATAGTACAAGACACAGAGTTGGCTCCTCAATAAGGATGACAGATGTTGGACAGACGCAAGAACAGATGGATAGATGGATAAATTCAGGGAGACAGTCTTCAAATTACTCTCTCCACTCTATAAAATGTAAATTCTTTAATCAGCTCACCTCGCAAAAGGAATGGTATGGTGGTTAAGAATATGGACTCAGGGGCCTGACTGCCTGGGTTCATACCCCAGCTCTACCACTAAGAGCCAATGGACCTTGGACAAGCTACTTAATCCCCCTGTGCCTAGGTCTCCTCTCCTGTACCATAAGGAGACAAATAGCGTCTACTCTACAGAACTGTGATGAGGATGAAATGAGCTGATACAGATAATAATACATGAATTAACAGGCAGTGCCTGGCATAGCTTAAGAGTTGAATAAGAGAGCACAAGGCTAGGAAGCCGCGGCTCCCCGGGAGAGTGTGAGACAGGACAAGAGTCACTGGCCAGCAGGTGGGAGGTGTGAGCTTTAGCTTCGGCTTGCTGTGTGACCGTGGACCACACTTCTAACAGGAGCTGGGAGACTTTTAAGAAATCATCCAGCCCAAGCCTCTTGTTCTACGTTACCAAATCTGTCTCAATTTCACCTGCAAAAGGGAAAACAATGCTTTCTAAGGTTGTTGTAAAGGTCAAGTGGAATATGAAAATAATTTGAGGGGAAACACGTGGCAGTGCTAGTGTTACTTTCTCTGTTATTAGAACCCCCTTAACTATCCAGAAGCTCTTTCCGGAGGTCTCATTACACCACAGCTGCCAGACAGCAAACCTGGAAGAATCTAAAAGTATGCAAACCTTCCTGCAGCACCTGGGGCAGAGCTTCTACTCCTCAGATCCTTCCATCTAGAATCTTTCACATTCTCTCACTGCCCATGGGACTTACTACAGCTATATCTAACAATTATTAGTTACATCTGTACCTTAAGCAGCATTAAACTGCAAGAAACGTGCCTACTTCATCTCTAAGATAGCTTAGTCTATTTATGAATAATGAACTGAGTTCACTACTCTGTGAAGAAATGAGAATTTCTTATACACATCTGATGACATTTGTACATTTCCATTAGCTTTAGTAAAGAGTCACATACCAGTCCAGACCATTTAAGGATAGAGCAGTTAATTCTACTTACACGAACATTACTATCTTCAATGCAAGAAAGGCTGTAAGGTGATGGGGAAGAACTAATAAACATTAACGGTGGAAATTTTAAGGGGACTTTGGAGAAGGGAGGGAAGCCATATCTCAACACACAGAAGGAAGTGGATGCCCTGAATGTAGGAGATGCTAGGAAATCCCCTTTTCTAAAATATCCTTTCTGAAAGTCTTCCGTTAGGTCTGGTGTCTCCGGAAGATTACCAAGTCACTTAGACAAATGTTAACATTCCCTCAAAGAAGTAGGACTTCCTCATTTCTACAAAAAAGAAGTGTGACCAATCGCTTTTGTTATTCAGGTGTGAAACCTTGAGTCATCTTATATCTTTTAACAACCAAAATCTTGGGGCCAGCCCTGTGGCTTAGCAGGTAAGTGCGTGTGCTCCACCACTGGCGGCCCAGGTTCGGATCCCAGGCGCGCACCGACGCACCGCTTGTCGGGCCATGCTGAGGCCACGTCCCACATACAGCAACTAGCAGGATGTGCAACTACGACATACAACTATCTACTGGGGCTTTGGGGAGAAAAAGGGAAAAAAAAAAAAAAGGAGGAGGATTGGCAGTAGATGTTAGCTCAGGGCCAGTCTTCCTCAGCAAAAAGAAGAGGATTGGCATGGATGTTAGCTCTGGGCTGATCTTCCTCACAAAAAAAAAAAAAAAAAATCTAAATCTTGTTGATGCTTTCTTCAAAGTATCTTTTGATTCTTTCCTTTCCAAACATCTACTACCAACACATTTGGCTACCCAGAAGATCACAGTAGCTTCCAACCTGGCACCTCCTCTCTCTAATCTGTCATAAATACTACCTGATTAATCTTCCAAAAATATATTTCATCGAGTCACTTTCCTGCTCCAGTACTGGATACAGCAGCTCCCACTGCCACAGGCTAAAATCCAGACTCCCAAACCAGGACTTGAACTCCTGCATTTAATGCTGCCAATATCACCTGCTCCCGATGGAAACTCACCTCCCTGTACTTGGCTTCTTGGGAGGCCTTCGCTAAGCTTCCTAAGGGCTAGCCAGTTGGCCGGACTACCAAAATCAAGCATCTTTGTTGAGTTACCACAGAGTTTTCTAAATTAAATTATTTTTTAAACATTTCATCAAGTATAAAAAGAGAAACTTATTCAAATGTTTTGAACTCAGTTTTACAAACTCTATATAAAACAGCTCTTAAAATGTATTCTATTGTTATCTTAAATGCTGGATCAATCTTTTTGTTTGCTTGCCCTATCAACTGCAAGATCCCCAACATCCAGGTTTTAAAGATTCTGCTTCTTCAAAGGGATCTATTGGTTCTTCTAGTAGGACGGCTAGACACCTTAACAAGCTTCACTCGTCCAAATGGAGTTCAACATCTTCCAGACAAACCAGCCACCTAGTCTGAGAGCCCCCATTTCTGTCAATTGTACCACCTTCCTCTCAGTCACCCAGTTCGATGGCTTTCATTGATACAACAAGTATTTACTGGGTGCCTATTGCCTATTCAAGTCCTTTGTTGAGCTCTGGGGCTACACTGGTGAACAAGACAGAAATTCTCTCTTCCTCCCAATGACTCCAGTGAACCAGCAGGTGAACTGGTGAGTAATGGCTGTTGTCCATCACTTGTGATCCAGCTAGTCATCACATCCCATTCCACTGAGACCACCTCAAACAGGACTTGAGGAGCTCAGACTTGAATTGCTATATTGGACTTTCTGCCTCTTGTCCATCCCCCGAAAACTATTTTGTACACTTTGCTGCCAGTTGGGTCTTCCTAAAACAGCCTTTGTCATAAAGAAGGTCTAGATCTACATCCACTTCTGGGATAAAACAAGTGAACCTATGACCCAGCAGAGGGGAGAGATGGGGACAGATTCAGCTGTGAATGCTAGTAGGCAGCGCAGAAAAGGCAGCTATGAGGCAAGGGCATTACGAGGACATCTAAGAACAGCAAGGGGAGGTCATGTGGGCCAGATCTCACACAGCCTTGCAGGCCACTGCAAAGATTTTAGCTTTAACTCAAAGTGAGATGAGGCCACTAGAAAGTTCTAAGCAGATGAGCAGCATGATCTGACTCATGTTTCAAGATCACTCTGGTTGCTGTGTTTAAAAATAAACTGTTGGGGGCAAGAGGGGAAGCTGGGAGACCAAATTCGAATGCTATTGCAATCCTCCAGACAAGGATGAAGCAGCCCTAGATCAGCACCAGAGGAAGTGGTGAGAGGTGGTCAGATTCTGGTTATATTTTCAAGGTAGAACCAATGAAATTTCCTGGTGGAGTGAACATGGTGTTCAAGAGAAAGAGGAGTGTCAAGGATGACATCAAGGTTTTAGCCTGAGCAATTGAATGGATGGAGCTGCCCTTAACTAAGAGGGGAGAGACTTGGGGAGGAACAGGTTTTAAGGGAAAGGTCATGAGCTCCCTTTTGGAAATGTGATCCTGGAGAGGCCAATTAGATAGCTGAGTGGAGATAGCGAGTAGGCAGTCAAATACACACATAAGGAGCTCAGTGGGGGTCTGGGCTAGAGCTCTAAATCTGTACATTATCAGCCTCAAGATAATATTTAAGCCCTGACACAGGATGAGCTCACCACCTGGGTGTGAATGCAGGCAGAGAAGCAAAGAGACCCAAGACTTAAGCCTTGGGATCGCCAATGTTAAGAGGTTGGGGAGATGAGGGAACAGCAAAAGAAACAGAAGGGACGGTGAGTGAGTTAAAAGGAAACCAGAATAGGGTGGTGTCCTGGTGCGAAGTGAAGGCAGTGTTTCAAAGAGGAGGGAGTGATCAGTGGTGTCGAAAGATGCTGAGTGGTGGAGAAAGATGTGAAGGGAGAATGGACCGCTGGATTCATCAGTGAAGAGGTCAAGAGGCATTTGGATACAGCAATGGGGATGAAAGCCTGTTGAGAGTGGGTTAAAAGTGAACAGGAGAATAGAATTAAAAAGAGCGAATAGAGACAACTTCTTCAAGGAGATTTTTTATAAAGTGAAGACAGAAAGTGGGTGGCAGCTGGAGAGGTAGAGGGGCCATGAGAGGGCTTTCAATGACAGTAAAAATAACCGCATATTTGTGCGCTGACAGGAATGAGCCATTAGCTCATGGGGGAAACGCCTGTAAGGAGAGAGCAAGTGGAATCAGTGATATCCCTGAGTGCAGGGAGAGGAAGCGTATCCAGGGCACAAGCAGAGGGTTTGGCCCCAGGTGAGAACTGAGAAAGTTCAGAATGGAAACGGGAGACAACAGAGTACACAGGCTCAGGAACAAGTAGGCAGGTAGGCTAGTGGCAAGAGCTTATACAAATTCTCTTCTGATGGTGCCTTTTCCTCAGTGAAACAAGAAGCAAAGCCTTCAGCTGAAGAGTGGGTCTGGAGAAGGAGGTGTTGGAGGTTTGAAGGGAGGGAAGATAACTGCCCAGAGAGTGCGTGAGTGAAGACACCAGGAATACACTGGATTTAGTTGAGGTAAGTGATCAGAAACTTAAAGCATAGGGCTCTGTAAGGTGATGTGCTTTTCTGCAGCTACCAGTGTGTGAGCACAGAACAGGCAGAGCATTGGATTGAACGTGGTTGGACTGGCCACATGACATTACCAAGCAAAAAAGGAGCCAGGAAGCTGAGTGTGTCTGCAACAGAGTGAGCCCAGCGAGTGACCATGGCACTGGGGCTGCATAGGGAGGGCAGGGAGGACATCAGGGGGGTGAAGGACTGTCAGAGTCACATTGGCAGAGGAAGTGACCTTCAAATAGAGGAGGTGGGACAGCTGACACTGAGACAATGAAGGGACTGGAATTACAGGTCATGGTAAGTTCTAGGTTATGTCCATGGGGAGAGGTAAGGTAGAGTGTAGAACAAGATCATTACAGGAGAGGAGACCAAGGACTGAGAAGTCAGGAGATCAGAAAGACCTTTCATTTAAATATAACAATCACCAAGAATTATGACAGCAGGCACATCAGAAACAGTGAAAATGAACCAGGCACTGAAATAATCAAAAAACATTGGGGTGCACCCCTGGGCCTATAGACGACTAGAACAAGGAAGAAGTGTTAGAGATGAGGTCAGGAGAATAACTTGAAAGCATCGATGGGATGCATGGAGGAACATGTACCCATATCCAGTTCCAGTTTACAGTGATACAGGAGAAGAAAGAAATCCACCTCCTGGGTGGGCTGCAGGAGGAAGCAGAAACTCTACTTCAGTTCCATCTATCAGTGGAGCTTAAAGAGTTCTGAGTTCATTGCTGCCACCACATCCCTTTCCAGAACATTCCTAGCAAGACAAGTGATGCTGCTGGCAGCAGCTCTGCCCAACTGGTGCTGTTCTTCCCACCTCAGTCACATCCTCTCCTCACCCAAAGAATGACAAGGGAATTGAAAGTGGCTCCTGTGCACCAGAAAGAGAGGAAAGTCCTGACAACATGTGATATCTAATTATTTTATTTCTCATAAACCATTAATTTGTATTAGGCTCTTAAAAATAGTTGGAAAGTTGCCATTTTAAACAAACCAATTTATGGAATACTCACCAAGCACCATAAGAACGAATTTGATACTATCTTTAATGCTTAAGGATTCAAATTCATACTCATCTTCATCTGATGATGTTAAATTGAAGATGGTGAGGTCACCTGATATACTGTTTAAATGAATTCTATCTGTAAAAGGTTGGAAAACTTTTGCCTCAAAGTTTTCTTCCTTTTCTACAATTTTATCCTTTCTTTTTTTCCACAGGATGTCTTTAACGGGCGTAGAACTTGCTGTAAAGAAAGTCACATTCTTGTTCACAGCTCCATACAATTGGGAATCACAGCTGATGACGTCTAGGAGGGAAAAAAATTGGTTAGGAAAAACATGACTTTATCAAAAATAGAAAACCATCTTCCAAGATGCTCTTTGGAAAAACACAAAGTTAAATTTCGCAGTAAAAATTATTCATCAGCTACTTTTTGTGCTAAGCTAATAAACTGCTGACAGAAAGTACTGGAAGTAAAACATGCTCAACCACGTGGAGTTTACTCTTTAATGGGGAAATTGGACCCACATTAACCCAAGAAAGGGATTCCACATTTATGGAGCACCAACTACGTGCCAGGTACTGTGGGCAACGCTGGAAATACAGCAGCAAACGAGACAGGACAGTACCGCTCCAGACCCTGCAGAAGCCCCGTTTCCTGGAGACGACACTGAGCAGGCAAGGAGAACCACCCTTCTCCAGGAAGTCATGTTGACACCGACACAGGACGGCAAATCACTGAGGGAGGAGAGGAGTTAGCCAGCCTCGGGATGAGTAAGGAGGGGGAGGAGAGGTGATCATACAGATAGAAGAAGCAGCACCTCCAAAGGCAGGTCCTAAATCACCAAGGAGCCTGGGGTATTTGAGGAAATAATAGCAGTTCCAAATGGCTAGAATGAAGAGAGCAAGGGGGTGATGGGTGAGGAATGAGGCTGGAGAGGCAGGCAGGGGCCAGATCCCAGGGCATATGAGTTGGGGGCTGGGGGTGTCAGGTAAGATATGCTAAGGGTTTGGAATTTACCCTAATGGCAAGAGAAAGCTATAAGAGGGTATTAAACAAAAGACTGGCATGACGTAACTTAAGTTTCAGCAGGCTGACCCTGTCTGCAGAGCAGACAGTGGTTGATAGGGGCAAGCGTGGAGGCAGAGAAACCAGAATAGAGGTCAGTGCTGTAGCAATGAGAGAGGGATGGACTGGGAGAGCAGACCGAAGTGCTGGCAGTGGGGGTGGACAAGCAGCCAGACACCAAGAGACATTTGAAAGAGAAATTAACAGGATTTAGTGGCTGGGTGTGGGGGATGAGGGAGAGGGAGGAGATAATGATGACTGTCAAGCCTCTTTCTTGACTGACTGAGAGGTGCCATTAACTGAGATCAGAAACAATGATTGGGAAGCAAGTCAGGCGTACGATGGAGATGAAGGACTCAGGGACAGGGTACAGTGGCGTGCTGGAGCTGGCTCCAATCATCTCTCATGAGCCAACTGCTGGCATCTCTACCCAACTCCGTTCAGTGAAGTCCGGATGACAGCTTGAAATCCACTATGATGGGAGTATTTACAGCAAAGAAACTGACTAATGCTTCTAATCAGAGCCTCCTACCTCCTCCACACCAGTCCAGTTGTTAAACAGTTACTACCACCACTGGATTGGAATATTCTTGATACCGCAAAATGGGTTTAAATATATCTTGCTCCAGACTTGACTTTCTTGTTAAGAGAGAAGAGCAGCTGTTAAGTGAAAGACATTAAAGATAAATTAAAACTTGACTGAAGTTTTTGCCTAGTAGCAATCAGGCTAATTGAAAGAGCACAGGAAAAATCAGGAACAGTAAATAGACCAATTGTAGGCAATTGTGTTCAGTAATTTCAATAAGAAGCAAATATCCCCCATTTATCTATTTGCAAGGAGTTTTAGAACCCATCTCCCTTAATTGAGGGAGACTACCCTCAAAAATACACCAACATCCTTCCATTGCTTTGAGGATCATGCACTATCCCTTCGACTCAACCAGAGCACATGGGAAGGCAGGTGAAAAGGAATAGGATTTGAGGGGTCCATACACAACAGTGGAGGCTCAAAATGTCTTGTAAATGAATAAACGAATGAATGAATGAGAGTGAACAAGAGTAGGGTGGCGGAGGAAGAGAAGAGTTTTGAGATGAACTGCCACACCTGGCTGCATAAAGATGGCTGCTATCTTTCCCAGGGATGTTTCAGAGGTGCTATTTCCTGGGCTTGAGAACAAGAAGAAGAAAGAAGTCAGGAATGGAGCTAGCAACAGAGAGAAGAATAGGTGGAGAAAGGGGGAGACCAGTTCAGAAAAAAAATCATAGTAATTTTGAGCTGGAAGAAACTCTAAAAATTATTTAGTCAAATTACCCCCATTTCACAGGTAAAGTGACAGGGCACCAAGAAAAATGAAAGAAAATGTTACTGAATGTCTACTCTCTGCCAGTTATGTGTTCACAGACTCTTGTGTCCCCTTTTAGCCCTCTCCACATCCATGTGCAGTGGGGTTGCTAATCCCGTTGTACAGACAAGGAAATAGGCTCCAAGAGGCCATCAATTGCTCAATGTCCTCAGCAAGTTTACGGCAGCAGAGGGACCAGAACACAGATTTTCTGGCTCCTTATTCAGCTTCCCTTTCACAACAGCCTGGTACCGTCATTCAACCATTCTGGAAATATTCATTGGGCATCTCTACTATGCAGGACCCCCAAGAACAAGACAGACAAAGCTCCTGCCCTCTTAGAGCTTCCCTTCTTTTATCAGAGTCAGACTTTATACAAATAATTAGACAAACAACCAATTGCAACTGTAATAAGTGCCACCAGGTAGAAGCATAGGGTGTCACTAAGAGCACCTACTTAAGGGAGCCAACGAGGGGTTAGGGAAGGCTCCCTGAGTTCTGGAGAATGAGCAGCAACTAGCTCTGCCAAGCAGAGTGTGGCAGGTCCACCTTCAGACAACAACTCCTGAGGCAGGAGTACAATGACGTGAGACAGAGGTGTGAGCGGGCAGGCCACGGCAGGATCATCCTTGGGCTTTGCTGTCTCCCCATTGCCTGGCACATGAAGGACACTCAACTTTGTTGAGTGAATTAACTAAACTGATTTAAATACAACTTAAGTGTAGTCCAAAAGGCAAGGCCTCCTGATGGAACCACAAAATTTGACAGTCACCCCAAACCCTGAGCTTTGCAAGGCGCCAAATTGCTGTGGAACCTGGGTGAAGAATCATGACTCCTCAGAGAGGGGTGGAGACGTTTAACTGGCTCTGAAGAATAAATGGCCTGGGACCCCTCGTATGCCATCAAAACAGACCCCTTTTCTCCCCATTGCCTGCCTCCAGCACCAAAGCAGGGCTGGAGAGTCTGCTGGTCCCCACTCCCCATTCCCACCCCACCGCTGTTCATTCTGAGAGGTTCCCCTTTGTCTCCTGTCTCCCGTTCAAGCTTAACTAGGTCTCATCTATTAAGACAAACACAGCCCTACTAAGTGGTGTGGGCTTTAGGGCACTGCACCAGATAAGCTTGCACCCACTCAGGATGTCAGCCCCTAATCAAAGTTAACAGCCTGTCTGAGGTTTGAGGAGATGCAACTTGTTCATTGACGCCATTTATTAGACACAAGCTAGTCATGGGATTTGGAGGAAAGATTTGTTTCAGTTTTTTCTTAGAAATTAACAATGTGATTTTAAAATACTCCTTTCGGGCCGGCCCCGTGGCTTAGCGGTTAAGTGCGCGCGCTCCGCTACTGGCGGCCCGGGTTCGGATCCCGGGCGAGCACCACACACCGCTTCTCTGGCCGTGCTGAGGCCGCGTCCCCCATACAGCAACTAGAAGGATGTGCAACTATGGCATACAACTATCAACTGGGGCTTTGAGGGAAAAAAAAAAAAAGGAGGAGGATTGGCAATAGATGTTAGCTCAGAGCCGGTCTTCCTCAGCAAAAAGAGGAAGATTAGCATGGATGTTAGCTCAGGGCTGACCTTCCTCACAAAATAAATAAATAAATAAAATAAAATACTCCTTTCTCTCTCTAAAATATTTTTAATGTTCCATATAGCCTACAGATTTTAGCAGTTAAGTTAAAGATTCATTCGATGAAAAGAAAAAAAATCCCCTAAAAGTTTCAGTACCTGAATATATAAACCTTGGTATTTCCCCATATGAATGACATTCTAACAGTGATTTGGTTCAAGCCTAGACAGCAGGGTCCTGGGGCATTTGTGCACCCAAGGAAGCAGCTGGGTTTCTCCTCTAGACGGGGGCTGTGACTGCCAGGTTATTCCTCTTGCCTCTCCTCTGCATCACACAGCACACTTGCAGTGACTCCTCCCTGGCAACCTGGGAGCCCAAGTCTGGAAACAAAGCCTCTATCGACACACACACATTCACAGTCCAGAGGAGCAGCCACGCTTCTAAAATGTCTAGGCCAGTGCTGATATCAAATAATCTGTCCTATCGAGTCCATAAATACTCTCCTATTAGTCAGCCCTCATGTCCCAGTTTTGGGGTAGGAAGTCTGCTCACCAGGTATGCAGACAGTGAAGAAGAAGACAGTCTTTTTACTCAAGGAAGTGTAGTGCAGCGTGTTTCTGTCACCTAGCTCTTCATAAATCCCATGCAAATGAGCCCTGGGCTGGCACAGCCTCAATAATAATATCTAACAGCAACAGCAGCAGCATTTCCTGTGTTTGAGGCTTACTATGAACCAAGCATGTGTTCTAAGAGCTAGACACATACACATACGTATTCATTCATTTAATCCTCAACTCGGCTCTGTGAGCTAGGTCTTATTCGTCATGTATCCATTCATCAAAGATCTATGGAGTCCCCTCCTATGTCCCAGGCACTGTAATAAGCTGGCAGGATACAGCAGTACATGAAACAGACAAAATCCTGTCCTCTTGGAGTTTATGTTACAGCGGGGGGAGGAACACAGTAAGTGGAAGAGTGCGTATGCCCTGTGCCGGGTGGCGTTAAGTGCTACTGAGAAGAATGAAGCAGAGTATGGGGGAGGAGGAGGACTCATGAGGAGGGGGGTTGGTACTGTAGGTGGGTGGTCACAGTTGGCATGGGACCAGGGCCTGGAAAAAGTGAGGGAGTGAGCTTGAGAATATGGGGAAGAGCATTCAGAGAGTGAGAACCACCAGGTTACAGATGAGGATACCAGAGCTCAGAGAGGTTCAGAAGCTGACTGAGGACACTCAGCTGATCCAGGACAGAGCTGGTGTCCAGACACAGGTAGCCGGCTCCAGAGCCTGCACTGTTAGCTACAACGTGAGGAGATGCCTCAGTCTT